ACCCACTCTGCCTACCAGAGACTGCTTTGGAATTGTCAGAGTAAACTCATCCTCGATACACCAACTCTTCCAAGTTATTTGGGAATGAGTGGTTTTTTATGTACTGTGGTGGCTTCCATTATATAGTAGTGGGATAGGGAGGGGTGGGAAGCTAGACAATATCAACAGTGTTTTGTTGTAGTCATACCATCTACTTGATTGCCCTTTTGATTGATTTAAAGTCTGCAAAAGCTACTGCTGACCGAAAATCTGCATCCAAACCTATTGGATTTGAAGGAGATCTTCGTGGTCAGTCCTCTGATCTTCCAGAAAGACTCCATTCCCAGGAGGTGGATTTAGGGTCCTCCCAAGGAGACTGCCTGATGGCCGGCAATGATTCTGAGGAGGCCCTCACTGCACTGATGTCCAGGAAGACTGCCATCTCACTGTTTGAAGGAAAAGCCCTGGGCCTGGATAAAGCCATTCTTCATAGCATAGACTGCTGTTGTAAGCACATCAGGGGAGACTGGGAGACAGCAATGAAACTAGATAGCAATTAATAGGGTATACTACACAGTATAGCGTATTGGTTGCCCATTCTGTGCTTGCATTGCCAGGTGTTGGGAATACAGTAATGAAATAGAATTGGTTCCTGGCCTCATTGGATGTATAGCCTAGTGAGGATACCAAAATAAGTCAAATTATTACCCAAATGGGAAATTATAACAGGCAGGTGCTACAAAGTTGATATAAAGGGTACTGACTGGGAGTGCTTCTGATTGGGGGATTTAATACAGGATCTTACTAGGGAGAAATATGGAGAGTGGGAGGCAGGTAAAGCTTCTTTGAGCAAGTTGCCCCTTGAGAGAGACCTAAGGGGTGAGGGCAGCAATGGCAGTCACAGATATAGTGTGATTGAGGCAGAGGAAGAAGCCTGTGAAGGCCAGTGTGGCTGGGAAGCAGGATGTGAAGATAAGTCTACAAAAGCGGGTGAGGACCACCCAGACAGAACTTTGTGGGCCCCCATAAAGATTTTGGTCTTAACTAATCCTGCAAGTAGCAGGGTGTGGAAGGGGGCAACAACATGTTCACATTTCGGTTTTGCAAGGTTTCTCTGGCTGCAGTGTTGGGTTGGAGGGAGTTCTCTGAGAAGGCTATTGCAGTTGTCCAAGCAAGAGATAATAGTGGCTTGGTCTAGAGCTGTGGATGTGGAGAAAAAGCATGAGGATGTCATTATCTTTTCAGCATCTGATGATACCAAAAAGAAGATGTATAGCTCCATCCTAGTGGTGGGAGGTGGTTTGATGTTTCATAAAGCTCAAGAATTTCTGCAGCACAGAATTCTTAACAAAATGCCACCATCGTTCAGACGAATTATTGAAAATGTGGACGTGATCACAAGGCCTAAGGTATGTTGTTTCATGGTGTAAGTTGGACTGTATGAAAATGAGATCAGCACTGATTATTTGTAATTGTAATGTATGTGAACAGATCAAATCCTGGGAAGCCTAGACTTGTATCTCAGGAGTTCTTAAGGGCTTAGAGCAAGTGGAAAAATAATTTCAGCAGGCTACAAATGTGGTGGAAGGAGCGCTGACCTAGGGGACTAAATTCCTGCTGCTTACCCCTGCTGTGCTCCCTGAACAGGACTAACTTCCACATGTGTCAAAGGACTGGGTGAGATAAGAGAGGACTGACTGCTCTCATGCCTTGCCAGCCAGAACAGCTCCATTTTTTTCTTTCTTTCTTTTTCTTTTTTTTAAAAAAATATTAAGGATCTACTGCTGCTCTCTGGACCTGTTGATCTTTAAGGATGATTTTGGTTTGTACTGTCTTGAAAAAACAGCTAAGTCCAGGAACTTAGAAGCAGTTTGTGTCTATATTTTATTAAATGTCACAATTCCTGGGAATGTTCTTACTTTTTAATCCTGAGAGATTGTGGGAATATATTTATTCCACTCAAATTTCAAAATAAGTTATTTATATTTGTTCCTGCCTAGATGACCTGACTATTTATGGAAACTAGTGAATAATAGCATCTTCAGTAAAAAAAAATTTAGGTTTTTTTGGCAGTTGAAACAGAAAGTTGTCTGTAGTTCATGAGTACCTACTGTCTTAAGGATGCAGGTTGAAAGCTTGGCTTACTGGGTATTGACTCGGTAGGGTTTTTTCCTGGCCCCAAATTCAAGTAAATGATTGGGTGTATGTCATATGTACTTTAGGCTGAAGAATCTTTATTTCTTCTCTAGGACATGGACCCCCGGCTGATCGCATGGAAGGGAGGGGCTGTGTTGGCTTGCTTGGATACAACACAGGAGCTGTGGATTTATCAGCGAGAGTGGCAGCGCTTTGGTGTGCGCATGCTACGAGAGCGGGCTGCTTTTGTGTGGTGAAATGAGGGAGGAAAAGTCACTGTTGAGCACCAAAAACAAGCCTCTTGGTATAAAAGACTCAAAAAAAATATGCATATTTTAATTTATTGACCTAGATAGATGCTTGAGTTTCATGGACAATAAGTGAATTTCAAGTTTATGTGAGGACATGACATTGGTTTGAAATTGTAAGCTGCTTTTGTTGTCAGGACTTTTGAGAGTAAATTGAGTTTACTCTTCAGTTGTAAGCTCTCTTGCCTTATTCTCAGGGTCTCATAAACTCCCCAGAGATGTAAAATGTTGCCGTTGAACATTCTCATGTGGTGAAACTCTTTATTTCAGTTGACTTCTGAGTGTCATTATCAGGTGCAACCATGAGGGATAATGTGTGACGTGTGGGAACTGTCCAGTCATGCAGTTTTTCCTCTTGTCTAGTATCTCAGAATCTAGAATCACCTGAGTTAAGTGCACATAAAATGTGACTTATGTCCTCTTGGAATCCCAAATAGGGGGAAGAAAAGTTTTGTTTTTCCATTTTTGTTGGATTATGAAAAATGATGGGACCCATTCAAATCTAGATTTCCAGAGGTAAAGCTTTAAGACTGGGCTGACTAGTTTTTTTTTTTTACCTGGCATGCGCTAGGTGGATTTGGGAAAAGAAAACAATTATCATTTGGCCAAAACAGAACAAATACTGAAAAGGAAATCTTGTTTCCTTCTTAAAATCAAATAGAAATGATTTAAGTATAACTTAGAATTGTTAATACAGATAAACAAGGTGACTGCCGTAATTACTATTGACTTAATTAAACCCCAGTTTTCCTTTACCTGAAGAACCTAGTGCAAACATTCTGTTCAGTATGATCAGTTGACCTTAACCTGTGAGCATCTAAAGCAAAATCTCAATAATATGGACATCTAATACCTCTGGTAGTCCAGGCCCTTGTGAAGCCTTCTGAGCACCTGGCAAGTGGAAGAGAAGGCACTGTCTAGAGGTAGGAGCCAGTCGGTGGGAGCTCGGAGACCTGGGAGGAGGAGCAGGAGGATGCTGATTCTTGCCACTTGCTTAGGCATCTGCTTCCACTATCTTGTTTATCAAAACTGGAGATGGGGATGAGTCTGGGGGAAAGACAAATGCAGAGATAGATAAGAGAATGAAGTAAGAATGGAATGTAGAAAGAACTTCTGAAATACAGAGAAATGCTAGTACCAGAGCATTTTGTATGAGTAAGAGTACCCCTGTAACTGCTCAGTAGGTTAGAAACAAAGAGGACTGCACCAGTATAACAAAGTAATTTTAACTTGTGAATACTGTTTGAAACATGTGCCTTCAATTTTGAAAGTTGTATGTTTTTATTTTTAAAAAATTCTAACAAGAAATATATAGAATGTTGATTTTATTTATGTTTCTGGGCTATTTCAAGACAATTAGTGTTGGCTGCTTATTTTCAAAAGAATAATGTATTTCTGTTTATAATAATTCTTTACCTTCAACTGGAGATATTCATTCAAAGGAAATTGGTTTCTAGTCCAAGTTTTGACCTAAGCCATGTCTGTCTCCCATTACCAGCACATATAAAAGCACCTTGAAAACTGATCATGACAAATAAGTGAGCTTTACCACATTAAACATACTACCTCAGCCATTACTAAGTATCTGCTTGTGAAGCTGGACATGGTGAGTTTTCACTTTATGCTGCTTTATTGTTTTTTATTTATCCATAAGAAATATTAGGAGGAGTGATGTGGCAAGTATCTTTTATCCTTAAAGGAATAATCTGCAAATAAATACATTTTAACAGTCATCTTCTTGAAACTGATGCCCATTCCAGAGCAGATTCAATATCACACTCTGTGAAATAAGCATTCCCAGAAAAATATATGTTAATATGTGACCTCTGCATTAAGAAAAAGATACTTTTAGAAAAAAAGTTGGAAGACAAAACATTTTATCTCCATCTTTTATAATTCAATGGTGGTTTCCATTCTTTATTTAAGTAAACCACTATAATAAATAATTTATAAAAAGGTTACTTCAAAAGGGCTAACTTTCACCTTAAAAATTAATTTCATTTTGGACATGAGAAGTTATATAATAGCTAAGAAACTGAGAATTGACAGTGACCTCTAATAGGTAACTTCAGGCAAAAGTAGACAACAGGTTTACAGGTAATGTATTTTGGTGTTCATATTATCAAAGTCACCTGTACAACAGGACATTAATCTAGTTGTCGAGGGAAGCTTATATGCAAATACCAAATAATGCAAGTGATTACACATATTCTAGGTCTTCTGGTCAGTAAAGATAGTTTCAGCATGCATATTCCCTACTTTTGTTATCTTAAAAATAGAGATTTTTGTGTGTAATTGAGGGTTTTTACCTAAGAAGCTGTTGAGTAAATTAGTTGGGGCTTCTTAAATTTAGTATTCATTAAATAAACTTAGAATATTACAGAGCTACACAGTTCTATCTATAGTGCAATGCATGGACTTTGCAAGACTGGATGTTTGGTTGGAAAATGTTTTATTCATTGTGTTATCAGAATGGTTGTAGTTTTCAGTTATACCTTTTCAATTAGCAGGCACAAAATTGTTTTTAGCTTTGTAATTATAAATTTGGTTTCAATTCTTTAGTTAACACTATAGCAGTTAGTATTTGTAACAATTTTATTGGCATAAGGTATTTTCATTACTAGGCTACTTGTAGGCTGTACAGTAAGCTTAAGGGTCATCACAAATGCTTTTTTCCCCTGGAATTAGTAGGATAGGAAGGCTTCAAGGTCTCTTCTTTCATTTTCATGGGTGGGCTACAAGGAGCAGCAGCTATTATGACAGATTTGTGATCTTTTTTCCACTGACGTGCTGCTTGACATGAAGAAGTTCTGTGCAGAAAGCAGTTGCATCCTTCATGAGGTGGTATTTGGGGCAGACATTGAGAGCATTATAATCATCTGCGGTGTCAACCTCTCTAAAGTAGACCACCACATATTTGTGCAGAGGCTGGCTTCTTAGATCACTGCAGAAAAGGTTAAAGGCAAGGGGGAACAGGTCTTGGGAGTTCTCGCTGGGGCTGCCCTCACTCTTGCTACAGGTTCCATCGCAGTCTGCAGTGACCTCATTAGAAAGAAGAAAGATGACTTTATCTGCTGCTTTCTTCTGAGTGGTAAGCCATTGTACTGGACCCATCTCTGCTATTTTCTTTTTCTGCCACTTTTCAAGGATGACTTCACTTCTGCAGTGGTTTTGAAGAAATTCAGTGAAATAACAAACTGTGTGATGGAAACATATTTCAGATGGGTAAACCACAAGAACCTTGATGGGGGGTAGTAGTGTGACAGTAGAAAAGGAAGTCTTCTTAATCCTTTCTGTGGGGGGAGAAAGCACTTGTTATCCTCTTGTAAAACATCATTGACAAATGACCCCCTGCTATAGAATGACAACTTGTTACTGCCAAACAGGAAAAACATCCCTGATGTCCCTTTTGAACACATCACCTGAAACACACTGAAGCTTAAACTTTTGAAATAATTTAAAAGAAGTATTTCCACTGTATTAGTCCTCTCAATTAAGCCTTTTCAAATAAATTCATAGAAACTGTTTAGGTTAAAGATACTTTGAGGTGGGTGATTGTAACAGTATTTTTAGTGCTATAAATAATCAGGGACTTCTGACCTCTGCACTTCACATTTTGAGCTGAGTCACTTCAGCAGTTGCTTGTACCATTTTCTACTTGCAGGCAGTAGATCCCTAAGTTAAGCCCCATTTCAGCCCCTGGAACTTACTTGCTGTTCTGCCCTTTGCAGTGCTATAAAACATTGTGTTTGAAACTACTGTAACTAATACAGGTCAAACAGTAACCCCTAAATATAAGTATTCCTGAGGTAAACTGGCACATGGCTTTCTTAGCTTAGACAGAACATGGAGTTAATCTCGTTCTATTTACAAATCATAAATGACTCAAAGAATGCATTTATATTTCCTCTTCTATATGGAGGAGAAGCAGAAGTTTTTATAAGGTCTGCCTCTAGCTGTATATCTGTGTAAATACTCTGATTTCTGTATTCAAATACTTAATGTTTTATTAGAGTTGGCAGTGTCCTTAGGGAGTACAGGTGATCCTTGAACAGTGTGGCAGTTTGAGGCATTAGTCCCACATGCAGTAGAAAATCTCATATACCTTAACCCCTCCAAAACTTCGAATAGCCTGTTGTTGGCTGGAAGCCTTGCCAATAACAGTAGATTAACTGTTTGTATAGTTAAACAACAGTCAGTTAACATATTTGTGTGTTATATGTGTTATATATTATATTGTGATAAAGCAAACTAGAGAAAAAATGTTTTTAAGAAAATCATAAGGTGGAGAAAATATATAAGTGGATCATCAAAAGGTCTTCATCCTCTCCTCGTAACCTGCATGTTGAGTAGGCCAAGGAGGAGGAGGGATTGGTTTTGCTGTCTCAGGGTTGGCACAGGTGTAGAGGTAAAAGGGGAGACAGGAAAGTTACACTTGGTGTAACTTTATGGAAATACATAATAATTTCTTTTTTGCTTTTTCATTTCTCTAAAAATATTTCTATACAGTACGAATCCTTCCTCCACCATTTGCTTTAGTTTCAGTGCCCATTATCATAGAAGGGTCCATGTCATAAATCAAAAGCAGTCTTGAGTAATTGGAACCCTTCTGCCAGATTGTCTGATATCAATTTGTGGCACTGCTTCTTCTATATATCATCATCTGGCACTGGTTTGGAAGCATTCATCTCTGTCAAGTCGTCTTCTGTTAATTCTTCTGGTGTGGTATCTGTTAGCTTTTGAATTTATCCAAGATCCATTTCTTGAAACCCTTCAACCCTCACTTTTTTTTTTTGTTAACCACATCCAGTCTCTTCAGTGATTTCCTTGATGGGCTTTCTCATAAACCCTGTGAAGTCATTCACAACATTTCTCCAGCAGGAATTTATTGTTTCAGGCATGATGGCTTTCATGGCTTATTCTGTAACAGTGATGGCATTCTTCCAGACTTTCATGATGATCTCTCTGTTGGGGTTCTCTTCCATAGCAATGATAATCCTTTTTATAGAGTTGCATATGTAATAAGCGTTGAAGGTCCTTGTGGATCTACAAGCTGAATTAGAGATGTTTTGGGGCAAGCAGACCACTTTGTTGCCTTCAGTGTTGAACTCAATGGGGTTCTGGGTGGCCAGGGACATTGTCCAATATCAAAAGAACTTTAAAAGGCAGTTCTTTACTTGCTGACTTCAGGGACAAAGCATCAATGAAACCAATCCAGATAAAGTTTTCTCATTGTCAAGGCCTTCTTGCTGTGCAGCTAAAAGACTAGCAACTGGTGTTTATCTTTTCCCTTCAAGGCTTGGGGGTTAACAGCTTTATAGATAAGGCAGTCCTGATTATAAACCCAAATGCATTTTGCACAAAACAGTAGACTTAGTCTGTTCCTTCTTGCCTTAAATCCTGGTGCTTGCTTCTCTTCCTCAGCAATGCATGTCCTTGGTGGCTTTTTATTTCCAGAGTAAGGCATTTTCATCTGCATTAAAAACCTATTCAGGCTGATATCCTTTCTCCTTAGTGATTTTCTTAATGGCATGGGTAACTGGTCTGCTGCCTCTTGGTTGCCTTATGATTCTGTTACCTAGACATTTTTAAAGCCAGACCTCTTTCTGAAATTATCAGACCATCCTTTGCTGGACTGTTCTTCAGTTTTAGTAGATCCTTCACCTTCCTTTTGCCTTAAGTTGTCATATAATAACATCACTGTTTCTTGACATATTAGAGTCTATAGGTATGCTTTTCTTATAGCAATCTTGCACCCACATAAAAATTTGGGGGTTTTTTGTTGTTTTTTTTTTTAGGTTATCCGGGCTGAAGTGCAGTGGCATGAACATGGCTTACCACAGCCCTGACTTCCTAGGCTCAGGTGAAGCTTTCACCTCAGCACCACAAGTAGCTGGGTCTCTGGGGCTACAGGAGTACACCACCATGCTTGGCTAAATTTTAAATTTTTATTTGTAGAGACAAGGTCTCGCTATATTGCTCAGGCTGGTTTCAAACTCTTGGGTTCAAGGAATCCTCTTACCTTGTCTTTCATTTTCAATACAAAAAGATGTTTTGCAAAAAATGCAAGGTTTTCATGCCTGCTGGCATAGCTGCAGTGATGGCTTAATTAATCTCTTTTTCCTTTTTTACAGTGGTCCTTAGATTGTGTTTATCTATCTTGAAATGGCAGGCAACCACAGCTGCAGACCTTGATCTATGGTACCTATCGAACAGTTCAACTTTTTCTTATACTTTTATGACTTTGCATATTGGGAGCACTTCTAGCATCACTAGTGACTCTGTGTGGGTCCCATAATGTTATTAAAGGTTTATGATATTGCACTGAACACAAAGAATACACAAGAACCACTGGAGATCACTTTGTACTGTGATATGCAACTTACTGGAGAGACTAACAGCTCACACAGAGGTAATTACTATCACATACATTTTTTTTTTAAGCCATCACAACCCCTGAGTTCACTGCAATAGCAACAGGAGGTAGCTATGAAATTATTACAGTAGTACATGCAGTTATGGTTTGATATTGCACCTGTATGTTTACATTTCTCTCAGCTGCAATTGGTGCCATGTATGGTCTGTGTGTGCTTAAGTTTTGATAAATTTTAACTTTTTATAATAGATTTGTATATAATTATGGTAGTAAATGATAAAATAGTTTAGTATCCACATGTTTTATGCATTCATGACATACCTAACATTTTCTTAATTTTTTTAGGCTATGTGGTTCATTTGTGAGTTTTTCCAAATTATCACAAATCTCCAAAAAACTTTCCAATTTATTTATTGAAAAGAATCCACAAATAAATGGACCCATGCAGTTCAAACCTGTATTGTTCAAAGATCGGCTGTATATAAGTCCAGGTGAATGTTGTATCTATTGCCTCAAGAAAACTATTTTTAAAATTAGGAACTATCTAGATAGAATACCTATCACAGGTAAAGTGCAATTTGTCATCAGCCATCTTTTGCCCATTTTAGTACTTTGTAGATGCCTCAATGGTGAAAATAAAGCAAGTGATAGTCACCTGCTTTAACCTGGCAGGTGTCATCCAGTTAGATCAGTCTCTATAAGAGTGCCCTAAGACATTAAATACATCCTGTCTAGCTTGGGGAAATACCAACATGTGGTTGCCTCCAGAGGACTCTCCTTTAAAAAAGTTCAAAATGTTATTTCCTTATTCAGATATCTTTATAGAATTATAGCCCTTACCGTGCCTCCACATTAGATAGATCCCAGCCGCCAGCACCCAGGTGACTCCCAGCAGAGACGGGAGGAGGAGAGGCAGCCAGCCTCTTAGCACACCTTTGTCTGGAGAAAACAAAGCTCATTCACCTTTGGCAAAACATACCCACATTTACCTCTTACTTAAAAACTAAGATTTGTTTACACTTAGATGTTTAGATCCTTTTAAAACCAAGGGTCATAGATTTTTTAGGGGGTCTTTCAATCCATGTGTTTTTCCCTAGAGTGTCCTGGTCTTTCCTTAGAATCTCAAAAACGATTTGGGACTTAGGAGGTTAAGAGCAGTACTCTAAAATCTCTTTGGCTTCTTCCTCCTTATATGCCCAGGCATTTCCACTGAGGTAACTAGAATTTATATCCAATTTTTTGTTCCTTGAGGAATTAATGTTATTCCATTTACTTACATAGTACATGTAGATGGCGTTTTTAAAGGCCATTTTGTTAGACTGATATATGTGGAGGATAATGTCACCCACTCACAGGAACAATGAGGATCAGATAAAATTGGGCACAAAGTGCTCAGGAATCCGTAAGGCACAGTGCATGCAGAAGTCAACATCATTAGGTCCCTGGGTTGTCTTCACTTCATGGCTGAGTCTAAGAATGATATCTTCCAACTTTTTACCCTGTCGCTGGGCTATTTCTGGAAACATTTTATTTGTCCATCTGGGATGAAAGAACTGACACACCTCTAAATCCAGAGAGATATTTTCCAGAATATGCCCTCAGGCACCAGTGAGGTGTGTCTTTTGGTGCCAGTATTTCTAATTTGTTATTCAAATGTTGGCCATATAACAGCATCAAGTCACAGCAACTTAGCATGGACCACTGAGACTGGTAAGAGAATAAAAGTGCAGTGAAATACATCTATGTTCCCTTATATACCAGTTATTTTATGCCACTGACTTTCTTCAGCAGATCCTTGTGGCACTTAGAACATTTATTTTGCACTGTTTATTTTTTGTCTTTTGTGTATCATGGTTTATAAAGGGTCATGAGTTGTTTTATAAATAAAGCCAGTTCAGATTATAGACTCTATGGGACAACATTGTTTCTCTGCTCCCCAGTCCAGTACACACAGGCAGGGATCCCCCATACTCCCTACATACACAAAATCTGCCACATTGAGTGGGGGCACTGGCATCTGGGCCCTTCGTGTCTTGAAGTCTTTTTGATCATCCTGTGAAAATGACTGGGTACTTAACTGTTATCCAGAGGGAAGGTAATACCTGTCTGTGGGCAAAGCGCAACAGTTCCTTTGCGTCGGATGCAGTCATTGCCACAAGTGTTGAAATACGGCATCAACTGAGGAAAAGTAAGAGGCTCAGAAAGTTCACACCACACATCAGAGCAGACTCAACATTAGTCCTACCTCCACCAAAATGTCTCTTCCTTTTTTTTTCTGGTTTCAGCCCTACCTTAAGCATTGTCATGGACATAATTCTTTCCTTGGTCACATTTCTGTAACATCTAAAATCCAAACCAGTTACCCAAGACCAAACCATCTTAAGACTCCTGGGTTTTGAACCAAAACTGTACATGTTTCATTTTTATTATTTTATTTTATTTTTGAGTTGGAGTCTCACTCTTGCCCAGACTGGAGTACAGTGGCACGCTTCCGGCCACTGCAACCTCTACCTGCTGGGCTCTGGCGATCCTTCCACCTCAGCCTTCCAAGTAGCTAGAACTACAGTCACGTGCTACCATGCCCGGCTAATTTTTGATTGTAGAGACAAGGTCTCGCCAAGTTGCCCAGGCAGGTCTCGAGCCCGTGGGCTCAGGCAGTCCTCTCGCCTCGGCCTCCCAAAGTGCTGGGATTACAGGCTGAGCCACCGAGCCCAGCCTGTACATGTTTCTAACATGCTGGTCTCTTTATCTAAAAGGGCTAGGTCACATCTTAACACATATATAAATATTTCCTCTAGAAACACTGAGCAGTAGTGCTCCTTGTTGACTTCATTCAAGCTTTATGACATGCCAGTCCCCTGTGACTAGGTCTATAGTTCTCTGGAAAGGGTGTGTAGTCATAATAGGCTGGCAGGCATTTGTCCCCTTGGTGTGTCTGAGCACTTTGTGTTCCAGGGAATGAAAAACAAAAGCTCCTTATTCTTGGAAGTGGCCATGTTCACGCTTCATCTACTCAGAGTAGAAAGAGACTGAAGAACATCTACTAATCCAAATTCTGGTGTCCAGCTGGGTCAGCCGAGGTCCTGAGGGGACAGTCAGCCCCTCTCCAAAGTTCCCACATTGATCTGGACCTCAAACCTTTAAGATTTCAAACCCTTTGTGACTTCATTTTGCAAAAGCTAAGGTACTCATACCTGAGTGTCTATGACAGAAAATGGAAATAAAAACCCTTTGGAAAGTCAATAGGCAGTAATCTAAGCAAAAGGGACCATGACTGCAAGGTCAGCCACTTAACCTCACCACAGACTGTTGACATCGCTTAACGAGGGACTGCTGGCCGAAGCACATCTGGCAGGCGAGAACTCATCCTTAAAAGGACTTATCAAAAGCAATTAATAGTAGAAATGGAAGTATCCTAGTGTCCCTTCCCTCCCCAAAGCAGCTCATTGAACTTACCTGTACCATAGCACCTTCACTTTCCTTAGTCACTGGAATCACTACTGAAGTTCGTGTTTGTTTGTGCTGGTGCAGATAAGTGAGAGTCAAGAATTATGAGTCATGTGACAGCAGAGACTGCCAATACAGAAGCCTTGCTTCTCAAACTCACTTTGAATTAATTCAACTATGTGAATAAAGATTCACTTCATACTTGTGAAACTTCTACTTTTGTTAGGTTTTAGGCGGATAGTAACATATCCCAGGATGGCCACAGGTACTTTTTACAGTCTGTTGAGTTGATCTAAATAGCTTAGCACAATTTGGACAGTAGACAGTTGGGTGCTCTCTCAAAAAGACAGCCTGTTGGGGGAATCCTAAAATGTCCCCATTTTCCTTCAATAAGCAAAGGACAGCTAGCAGTTTAGCATGGAGGTGATGTTAGAGAATGAAGGAAAAGTACCTCCTTCACATAAGAGTGCCCGATTACGATGTTCTGTTGGATAAGAGCCAGGTATCTCTCTCCAAGGGGGCTGGTCGTAAATGTCACTTCTACTGTCTTGTCATTCTTCTTACAAGCAGTGATGTTGGGATCCCAGAGGCTTCCTATGAGTTGAGAAGGAAACCTGTAGAAGAACTTGCTAATTCTTCCCTCATTTAAGTTCCCCCAAAGGGCTTTACAAAAACAAATATAAGTTCTGAGGCATACATCGTAGAGATAGGGACTCTGCGACACAGTGAGCTTTTTGCCATTCTCGCGATTTCAAAGTACCTTCTGTCCTAGAAAGTTTAGAGACCTCCACATCACTGCTTTGCTAAAAATAGCTTCCCTGGACTGAGGATGGTAGTAGATACAGATTGGTTCTGCTACTCACTTCTATTCTCAACGTCTGTTTTGAGTTAAGGGCTGGAGTCTGTATTTTCTCCTTCCCAGGATGGCGAGAAGGAACCACAGGTTAGGATGCATGTCTAGGATTATAGAGCAAGTGAATTCAGGATCAGGACTATAACCACTAGAATATTCTGTGTTCCAGGAGCTTCATCCATCAGACCATTCTGCCAGCTTTACTGGATGCAAAGAAAGAAGGAAATGGCTCATAGCTTAGAGGACACCCTGCCAGTTCAACTCTGTCAGAAAAAAAGTTTTGTTGATGTGACTTGCAAATGAGGACTAGATTAACTTCCGGGAATATAACAATAGCATGAATTATCTTCCCCTTCTGAAAGACCATTTCAGGCCCTGGCTCAGAACTGTCTTTGAGAGTTCAGGTCTAGGACTGATTTCAAGGCCTTGCACCTCCTCGCATCCTCAGCATCCTCCATACTCCTCGAGATCACTCTTGGGAGGCAGGAGAGAAAGCTTAAGTCCTCCAAATCTGGCTTCTAACGAGGATAGCACATGCAGCCCAGGCTAACAGGATACACAGAAATGACTTGTGGGGTGAGGGTGCCTAAAAGTTTGGGACAAGTCCCCCCAAAGACCACTAGCCTTATTAGCATCCTAGTACTATATTACCCAGAAATTTACACAAACCCTTAAAAATTGGGTACTAGGGACTGATTATCCTACAGGACTTATTGCAGAATTCAAGGGGTAGGGTTTGGGTTCAAATATCCTAGCACGTGAAAGGTGGGTGATCCCTTTAAGGACACGGGTTGAGAGCATACTTCTAGGTTATTCCTTTAGCTAACTAACACTCCCACCTTGAATGTTCCTAATTCAAACAATGTTCTCAGGGTCCCCATGGCCACCTGTTGGTGGGGCTGGTGTCTGAGCAGGCAGTAGGGTTTATAGAACTCCCTCCAGTTAGGAAGGGCCATTGAGTGGCAGCACTGTTAGTGCAATTTGGGCTAAAATGTGAGTACCAAGGGCTTGGGGTGGTTTTATGTAGCTGTTGCTCCACTACATAAACCTACTAAGAGTGTATCATTCCCTGGACAGGCTGCTCGAGGCAGTAGACAGATCACTGGCCAGGGATCAGGAGCCCTGAGTGTTTCGGCCTTTGCTGAGTGACTTGGAGAGGTAACCCCCAATCTAGGCTTCAGTTTCTTCATCTGTAAACAGATGGAGAGAGCTATACCACCTCAAGTTTCTTCAAACAAAAGCAAATACTGTATTTACTTACCTGCCTCGATGCATTCTTTTTTATATTTCATTGTGTGGTCCAGGCAGCCTGGAAATTTGAATGAAAGTTTTTTACTTTTTGAAAAAAGATCTGTCTGACCCCCCTCTCCAACAAGTGCATGCATATATGTGCATACTACGCTTGTAATGAAGTGCCAAAACATTCCAGATGTAGGATAGCAGAGTTAAGTGGACACTCACATTTTACTGTTAAACAGAAGATATCCACCCATGACGTGATTACCAGAGTATAATTTAAATATAGCCTTTATCCAGACAGTATCTATGATCCCCAAGAGAAGACTCAAAAACCAACTATCATTTTAAAATGATGTTTGGTAATATGTGTAGATACTGCCCCTTCCAGGATGTGAAGCTTAATCTACCCCCATATCTCCATGCAAGGGTAGAGTAGACTTAGTGACTTGTTCCCAAAAACTAGAGTGGGGAAAGGGAAATACAGACAGCTTTGCATGGAGAAACCTGGCAGGCACTTCCTCGACAGGCACCCTCTTAACCAAGTGTTGAAGGTAAATCTCCGCAGTGGTGTCATTGGATGCCACGAGCTCCTGATGGGATGTGATGAGAAGGGCACAACACCTCTGGTATTCATCCTCAAAACCCATATTCCCGGTCTAATCATGAGACATATATCAACACACCCAACTTGGGAGACATTCCCCAACATGCCTATCTTGCCCAAAACTGTCAAGGTCATGAAAAAAAAGACTATGAAACTGTTACAGACCAGAAGAGACTAAGATGACACAAAGGACTAAATGCAACTGGAACAGAAAGAGGACATTAAAGAAAAGGCAGATGAAATCCAAAGTCTGGAGTTTAGTTAGCAGAAATGAACTAATGCTGGTTTCTTAATTTTGACAAATGTACCATGGTAATATAAGATGTTAACAATAGGAGGAGCTGGGTAAGAGGTATATGGAAATTCCAATTATTATTGGAATAATTTTAGAGTTAAAGAAAAGTTGCAAAGATAGTACAATTATTCCAAAATTTAAAAAAGTTCATTTAAAAACAAAATGAAGTTTGTTCTCATCAAGAAAGCTGGAAACAACTGTGTGGTAAATGGTATGGCACCAAAATGACCCTGGACGACAATCTCAGAGACCAACAACAAATTGGAAATTGCCCCATTTGGCCTCGATGCTTTGCCTGAGATAGATGACAGGGCTGGGGTATGGAACAAGTGACCCAGCCTAGTTAGACCCTTCACACACATGATCTTGTCTTATCATCACAGCCCCATGTGACATTGCAGCTGTGGTAATAGGGAACTGATCCTGTGCCACAGAGCTGGGGCAAGAGCACAGCATTCAACTCAGTATCACCCTACCTCACAGACAGCTCCAGGCATTTGCATTTGTCATGTTTGTGTCATGATTAATTGAGGGATACAGAGGCATTGGGCGCTGAATCCCTAGACCTTCAGCGGCAGACCACAAGAAACCCAAGACTGAAACAAACGTTTTGCATCAATGACATAAAGAGCAGTTAAAGTGCATCGGTCAGGGACCAGAATTTCAATGTCACCTTCATTTTTACTGTGTGTATAACCCAGGGAAAGTGATTTAACCTCTCAGTTTCTTCATCTGTAAAATGGAGCTATCCCAACTTTGAGGTTGTTGGAAGGCTTAAGTGAGATGACACATGTCAAGTACTCAGCACAGTGCCTGACATGCAGGAGTGGGCTTTTTCCTACATTTTACCTGACTTAATCCTCTATGCTCTGCAAGTGCAGCACAGTTATTGCTGTGTCCATATTATAGATGAGAAATCTGAGACTGGGTCTTTGGCCTTGTCCAGAGTTACCCAGGCACTCTGTACCAAACCACACATCCCAAAGTAGGCTTCCCAGCAAGACACAGAACAATAGAAGAGTAAGGAAGTCTACCTGGTGAGGTGAAATTCACAGACATGGAAGGACCATCTTCATTCATGTTTGCATTGGGGATATTATGGGCCCCAATGAAATAGACCGTGTTCAGCTCCACAGGAAAGCCTACATAGGAAAACGTCCACTGAAAGGCAAAGCAAGAAACCCTGAGTTCCTGAGACACTGTGCAGTGCAGAAACAGTATGTCTATATGCTACCCTTTGCGTTTATATTTCATTACTTATTCTGAAACTTATGTCTCTCTCCAATGTCTACTTAGGGAATGGTACCATATGATTTTACAATGTAACTCACAGAATCAGAGAAGTATAAAATTTCAGCACCAAGATGCAATTTAAGTCCAGTTCCCCTCCGTTTGCTGATAAGGAAACTGAGGCCCAGACATTCTGACTTGTGCAGACACAAAACAGAGAAGTGGTCAAAAATGGGACTTGAACCCACGCACCCTGCTCCAAGCTATGAGTTGTAGTTGCTCACCAGCTTATAGGTATAGCACATCATCCATGCTCCCCAAACAAAGGGCCCTGTCAACAATTAGCCAGGTGCCTACAAGTGCTTACTTTGCCGCCAGAGGGTCTGGTCTGACTCTGGAAGGCCTCTGTGTAATTGCACCTCACACAGCTGTAGGACTGGAAGTTGCTTTTGCCTGTTACGCAGATCTTGGTGGCCTTCAGTAAGCAGATGCTGGCTGCCAAGATAGGCAAGAGGGCAGTTGTTTATTTAGCACTATTACGTGACTGATTTGATGCTAGCTACTTGATGCTAGAAACTAGCATGCTTTATGTTTCAGTCTATATTCACAACAGCACTAAAAGGGAGGCACCACTGCCTGCAGTTTACAAATGGTGAGTCAGGAGAGTTTCAGAGAGCTTTGCATAAGCTTACAAAGCTCATCAGCAGACAGGAATTCAAATTCCAAAGCCCAAGTTCCTTCTTCCTCACAGGTCAGCCTGAATTACTCAGGATGCCTGCAAAGGTGATTATAGCTCTGCACTTTGCTGGGTCTCTTTTAAGAGGAACAGGCCTGCCTCAGGGACTCTAAAAAGACCCTCCAAGAGTACCACTACCAAAGCAGTCCCGTTCTGATTGCACCTTAGTCCGTGGTGATTCTTCCTGGAATATCCTTTCCTTCCATTCCCTATCTTCAAGTCTCACTCCTTTAAAGCCCAAGTAACTCATACACCACAGCCTCTAACAGCTGCTAACAAAGAGCTTACTCTGTGCCAGGTGAGGGCTAAAGCCTTACTGCCTCATGTCACTTAACATAACCTCACTAGGGTCCCTCTCCCCATCCTCCCTGCTGCATCCCATTCAGAGCACACAGCTCTCTTCTGGGATTCCCGACACTACCTTTGTTTGCCTCCCTCTCCCCTCTGAAAACCCTACTGGGTGGAGATTGTAGTTGACTCATCTCTCTATGCCCGGCACTCACAGATTCTTGACTGGATAGACCTTAACAAATGGAAACCACAAACAGGGGCATTAGGATCCCAGGGTTAGCTCATCCAAAGAACTCACAAGTTGCCTTGTAGTAGAATCTTGGAGAAATGACGAGTTTCATCATATCATTTGGGAGCTGAAAAAGTGATCTATCTAAGCCACTGCTTTTCCTAAATTGGGTGTTGGGGGAATCACCTCTGGCCTTCCTCAATCTTCTACGAAGTATAACATATAGAACTACACAGATCATCAGTTTACCACCTGATGTCCTTGCACACATGTGGCTAGTAAGCAGGTCAAGAAACCCCCAGAAGTGCCGCTCATGCTTCTGTTTAGTTACTCCCATCCCAATAGTAACCACTGCCCTGACTTCTAGATTAGTTTTGCACTGTCTGTAAGTGGTCATATGGCTTGTACGACTATAGGCATGCACACAGATGTAAATGTATGAGCTCTTAGTTTGCCTTCTAATGTTTGTGATGTTCATTCATGCAGTTGTGTGGAGTTATAGGTCATTCATTTTCATTGCTGTAGTAGAACATCTGGTGATTCCTTTTGATTGCTGGGCATTTGAGTGCTCTCCAGTTTTGGCTGTTACGAATAGTGCTATTGTTGACATCCTAGTATGTGGTTACTGATACAGGCATGTATGTATTTCTGTTGGATATGCCTAGGAGTGTAACTAATAGGTCACACAGTCTGCACATTTCTGGTTTAGCAGACACTTTAGGCCTTACCTTTGGTTGATGCAAACTTACCATCTGCCCGGAGTGTCCAGCTTACATTCATCAAAATTGAATAGTCTTCCGTTGCAACACTGGTTTTAACAAGTTCCACTTGGAGGTCCCTCAAATCTCCTGGGGTCAGATCATGTGGGACCATCCATTCTGGAGATGGCCCTGGGAGAAGGCCAGACTTCCCATGACATTGCCCTTCCTGGCACAACCTGATGCCATCTCCTCTCAGTGACCCACCCTGATCCATCCCCCATTCACAACTGCTCACTCCTTCCTGCTGGGGTAGGCCAAATATTTCTTGGTGCTGGCCAATTTATAGCCGAGATGATGTTGACCTAAGAGAAACTTTCAACTTTCTGGCCCCCACCTGCAGAGCGCTTGGGACCACTCCAGTTGCCTGTGTATAAATGTATGCATATACTTAGTGTATTTGACATATTTATTAGAGTCAGTTCTGCCTTCCTCATGCCTCAGCCCTGGACTTCAGTCAGCTGGCCCACACAAACCCCACTTTCCCACCTCCTAGCCTTTGCTGGTACTGTCTTTCCCCTTGCTCACCCTCCCTACCCACAGTTCTTGGGCAGAAGCCCACCCATTCTTCAAATGTTGCCATCTTGAACACCCACGCTTCTATGAAACATTTGCTTCCTGGTCCCAACTATTAGTGATCTCCAATTGCAGAATAGCAGGCATCGCTTTTCCCCTGGCATGGCAAGTTCTGCCCTGCTTGTGCCCCTCTGACTAGCCAGGGGGCCAGTCCATCTGGAGCACCTCTTTATTCCCCTAGAGTTCTTCCTTGAGCAGACAGAGACTGTATCTGCAACAGCTAACAAAGCAATGGGTCACCCTGTGTGTCTTCAATGACCTATGCTTAGCCCAACTATGTTTCAGTGCAAAGCCCCAGATATCTGTCCCTTAATGTACCTACCAGTTTCACAGCCACACTGAACAGTCTGCAAGAGAGAAAGAAACCAAGTGTCACATTAAAACTAGCAAACTACAAGCTTTCCTTTGCCAGACTTGACTAAACATCTTTTTTCTCTTAAATGCATACACAGGTGACAAGCTTTCAAAGAAAAGATGAACTGGTTCACTTCACAGCTTTGGGAAAACCAAGCTGCCTCATTGTAGGCTATGGTGGATGTGTATTAACCATCAGGATACTTGATCCTTAAGCCAGCCCAGCACCTCACTTGAAGACCAGATGTGGGTGTCCACCTGTCTCTGGATGTCAGCCTTCCCTATTACAAGCAGGGAATGACTCTGGGCCATCATGAGGCCCCTCCACACTGTAATGTTTAACTGTATATTTTCAGGACAGTTTGGAGTATTTGCTGAGTTTCCCCAGGTTAAGGAGTTGCTATGCTAAAAAGAAGAACAGAAGAAAGCTATGAATGCAGTATCTTCCCACGTTTTTTATAAAATATTCTCCTTCTGATACAAAAGCTCTCACCGGGGCTATTTAGAAAATCATAAGCAGCTGTGCTTTCACATGTTATATTTTTATTTAAAAGAGCTTTCAAAAATATAACTGATTATTGGTGTCCACGAAAGGCCAGCACTAAACCCTTTAGTTAGTTAACTGCTCTTGTCTTTTCATGAAAAGTTGTAATTTGTATTTTGGTTTTGGAATAAAATATTTCACCTAAAGTATTTAACTCTTAGGCAGCAAGTTCTAATGACAAGATTCAGTGAGACAAGTCCACAAACTGTGGAACCCGCTCCCTCTGAGTGTTCACATTTCCAAACACCTTGGAAGAACTGAAGGAGAGACTTCTCATGGCTTCAGTAATTTATCAGTAATTTATATCATCAGTCATTCCTTTGTCTTTTGAAAAATGAACTCTAGGAGATATCATCAGACATTAAAAAAAAAGAAAGAAAAACAAGCCACCGTACTAGGAACTGAGTTCTTGTCAAAGTGCTGGTGAAACAAGTTTTAGGAAGAAGCCAGGCAACAGCCCTACACGTTAGAGTTCCAACTGTTGGCCTTACAGCAGCTACAGCAAAGAGACTTAATTCTTCCTCCAGTGGAAAAACCAAGGAGGCCTCGGAACTGAGGCAGAGAGTCAAGACCGGAACTTATGACATCAGGAAAGTGAATGGGGTCTGACTTTCCATAACCATCAACAGGTGACACCATGCTTTTATGCTGTATACTATGCTAAGAGGGCAGGGATGTAATTTTGAATGCTGTTTTGGGGATGAGTTTTTTCCTCTTCAGCGTCCCAGAAGATTCCCTCAATCATTCAATGCACTGGGGAAGAAAGGGAAACGGTCTCCACGAATGGACATGGCAATCTAGAGGTCAAAAAAAAGCGGGGGGGGGGGGGGGGGGGG